CACAGCGGTCTTTAATGCTGAGTTTAATTCAAGAGCCTAATACTTTCAAGACTCGTGCGTGTGTCACTGTGCATCAGAGCTTTCCCCTTTCACTGCTGAATAAACTTGCATCTTCTAGAGACACCACAATCTATCTATCGTTCCATTGATTTTGGACTATTGGGTTGTAACACCTTTTGGCTGCAGTGGGCACCATTTTTTGTGTGGACCTTGTTTTTGGTTCTCATAGAGGTTGGGGGGAGTGGAGGATACTTGCATCTGTCACCTCCTTCTGCTGTCACTTTTCTTCTTCTTTATACTCTTCTTGGATTGGCTTAGAGGATTTCTCATTGTCATTGTCACACGTTTCTCATTACTTTCCTTAAAGTTCCTCTTTCTCCTCTGAGCGCATTTTATTCTCTGGAGAAGTGACTCTAACTAACAGTCATTGCGTGTTCAACTTCTTATCCCCCTCATCTCACAGGCTGGATTAATCTGTTGCATGTGGACCCCGGTTTGACTCAACTCTGTTCCACATGGTGCATTCTTTGTGACATTTTGAGATTCACCCCATGTCCCTCCTTGCATAGCTGTGTCCGTGTCCCTGTGTACCTGCCCCCCTCCATCTGGGTAGCCCTGCCATGTTCCCCCACCTGGTGCTGTCACCCATCCTGGGACCTGTGAGGATGGACTCCCTGCCACGTGTGACCAGATCCTGCCCAGCCACAGCACCCCCTACTGTCTGTGCCGGGAGATGGCCTGTTTTCCTGGGCCTAGGTCTCCACTCACATGCCAGGTCCCCTCTTTCTAATCACAGCCCCCCACTTGCACATGCATCCAGCGCAGTGTTGATGTGGGTTTCCATGGGAACCTGGTAACAGTGTGGGAGACCCTGACGTGGCACACAGGTCCATTTCCCATTGGAAATCCCACAGAATTTGTTCTTCAGAAATGACTGCAGTAAAGCCTGCTGGTTCCCAGCCCATCTGGGTTACTCTTCATGCTTTTTGGGAAGAACACTGGTTCTGAACAAGGCACACTGCCTGCAATAAACTGTTTCGACCTTCCTTTGAAGTCTTATGTAGGCATGTAGTTACCTTCTGACCAGTGAGATGCAAAAAAGGGAATGGAGGCTAACTAGAGTTTCCAGGAAGGTTGTTTTAAAGAGTTATCTTAGCTAAGAAAACCCTTTTCTGTCACTTTTCTTTGGCCTGCAAAGCTGATGCAACAACTGGCACTTCTGCAGCCATATTAACCTATGAGGATGCATGCCTTGAGTTGGCATGGTGTAAAGCACGGTAGGAGCCTAGGAAGCTACACTATCAGCCCTGGCCAGCCCATTTCATGGCTTCTTTTGTTTGAGGAGAATATATTTGTCTTAGTTTAGCCTTTTCTTATTTGCTTTAAGAAATTAAACAACCAAACCCAATTCTAACAAACACAGTTTGAGATGTATTTATTGGCCCTGGTGCACCCTAACTTTGAGCAAACACTCATGAATTCAACCCCATCTGTTTCCATTGAAGTATCAATTAAATGCCCATTACCTTTTACTTGTGGTGACAGCTCATTCTCTTACTTAAATATAATTGGTTTAAAATGAAACGCGTTACCTACAGCAAATGGAAAATCAGTATCGCGTGGAATAAACAGATGATAAGCCTGAACGAGAGATGAGTTCTAGCTGTGGACCATCCACGGGCCATCGACAAGTGATGGAGGCTGCAGAGTCACACAGTCCCTGGGGGAGATGGACTTCTGTCCTGTCTGCAGGCTCACTGGGGAGCCAAGAAGTGGGGAAGCTGTGTCACTCCAACCTGTTCAATGCCACCTCCTTGTGCCACCTAAGGCCACTGACAGATGAGCTGTGCCAACCTTGGGCAACACTCGTCTATGAGAACTGCAAAGACATGAAAACCCACGGTGCTTGGCACGTGTTTACCTAAGTGGATGTAAAGCACCTGGTGAGCGTGACTCTGAAAATTTGGGGACCCAGGGTGATCGCTATCTTGCTGTGGCCTCAGAGTCTGTGCTGGGGAAGTGGAGCACACAGGGACCTGAGCTGTGATGACATCCACGTGTCAGAGCCATTGGAGATGTCACCCCTAAACTCCTTCAGAGGAGAAAGCGATTTCAACACAGACCTGCGGGCTGCATTTTCCCTGCCCCATCCTCACTTCCACAGAAGGACGTCACCACTACAGCTTCCCGACGCACAGGTACTGGTCAGAAAAACAAAACATAGGACTTGTGAATTATGAAGACACCCTGTGTGTCCCATGCCAAGCTCTGAGCTTTAAGTGGAGCTGAAGACACTCAAGAAGAGGGGGAGACGTACAAAGCAAAACAGCTTTGGACTTGAACCTCAGTAACATCACAAAAACCCCCATCAAGGATGCTTCTTAAAAAAGTGTGTGTCCTCCCAGCCTGCCACTGTCCAAAAGTGTGGAGTGAGAGGTTCCTTTATTCTACTTTCTAAAGAAAGAAACAAAAAGAGGAAAAGTTGTGAAGGGAGGAAAAATAACACATGATTATGCCAAGAAATAGATGATATCAAAGAAGCTATTCCCACTAGATACATTTTATTAAGTTGATAATGCACGCAAACAATAAAAAATCCAAACGGTTCACTGTACAAAATAATTGCCATCAGCCTCTTCCCAGCTTCCCAGGCCTCTGCCATGGGCACCGCACTTGTCAGTCTCTGGTTCATTCTTCTTGGGACCCCACGTACTCATGAAAACACACTTCTGATGGTTTCCCTGGGCAGAGCATCAGTAACCAGGCTGCTGTGCCCAGACTTACTTGAACAGGTGTATTGGAGAGCATTCGGTACGTTATATTATATACATTTATTAACATATATTAACAGACACATGGTCTCATTCCAGAGCACCATTAAATAAGCATCAATAGACAGCCCCCTGTGTGCCTGACTCTGCTCTATGGCTGGGAACAGCTGCACACAAGACCTGGGTCCCAAGCCAAAGGGGCTTTCAGTCCAGATTGACCCCACTGAGCAAGACCTGCCCAGCTGCCCCGTACACACACCACCCCTGCGACACACACGCGTGCATGCACGCGCTGCAGTTCTGTCATGTGCACACACGTACAGCACGGCACATGAATGATCCCATGTGCATCTGAATGAGTATGAACATCCCTCTGTACCTGGGCCCGTGGTAGGAAACTGGCATTAAAAGGTACAAAGGGACAAGGGACATGTCCGTGGGGAGCTACCACCATTCCAGGGCTTTCCAAGGAACATCTGCACATTCCGTTGTTTCTTAATGGAGACAGCAATACAGATGAAAGAAACACAGGGCAGGCAGCACACACGCATGTGCTTAGAGACGTTCTGAAGGCTCTGTGACTCTGGAAACCTGGCACAACTAGATCCCTAGATAGATGGCTTGCGTGTCACTGGGGAGGAGCCACCGTGGAGAGTTCTGTCTGTCCCCTCCCCTCCACACTCCACACAGTCTTAACTAAAATGTCTTTCAACGGTTCAGACCTCTTTGCATTTCATGAATAACAGTACAACCTCTACTACTGCTATTCTATGACAGTAGATGACAAAAAGGGCATGGGAGAAAAGAAAAGGACATTGACTGAGACCCTTTCCCCAGACTGACCCTCCTCTTCTGGTAAAGATTAAATGACCTCTCCAGCCATTCATCCTTTCAGTCATCCAAATATACGTACAGCCCTCTATTCTGTCCACCCATCCATCCTTTCATCCGCCCATCCATCCATCCATCCGTCCACCCATCCATCCATCTACACATCCATCCTTTTGTCCATTAATCCACCCGTCTGTCTTTCCATTTGCTCATCTATCTAATTTTTACCATGTACACAACACAAAAGAGACCTTGTACTGGGATGTCACCTCTTTTCCCAAATTGAGTTACTGACTTGAACATATTGGGTGTGTACCTGTCATAAGGCCACCAAGTTCCTCCATGCAGTACTCATCACTGTACAAACATCTGGGACAGAGCACACATACAGATGTCCTCTTTTTCCTCTCGCTTGCTCTTTAAGCAAAACTTCACAAAGAAACATCCTCCAATAGTGGCCACAGAGGAAGAGCACAGACCAGAGCCGCAAGTGACCCAAATTCACAAGAACCAGCATTGGCAAGAAGCACAGAGGGAACTGAAATTAGACCCTCCCCAAATTGGTTTCAAATGCTCCTTGGTAATGAACCATGGAAAAAGTAATAGCTATCAACTGAGATTCATTACCTCAGTATTCTAATGAGTAATGGGAAGTAAAATATATTTTCCAAACACTGATTTCAAAACTGCATTCCAGAAATAACGTGCTGCATCCTTTCATTATTGTTCAAATTTTAAATAATACAAAGAGCAAAAGGGAAACGAAAAGTGACAAAAAGAAAAACTCTGTGACCAGACTAAGAATTCTCCAGAGCCACAAATGAGGTTCTGGGAGAGTGGAATAAATGGAGAACGACTGAGGTCCATCCAAGTCTCCCTTTGCCCAGCTGTGAGCTGACTGTTTCTAAGTTGGTGGGTATCAGAGACGGATTTGGGTTTTAACTTCTCCCTAGAGTGATTCACAGTTCCCTGTAATTCTGCAGCAGAGAGTTCACTATTACATCAGGAAAGCCCTGCGCACCTCCAGCCGCATGCATGGCCAGTGTGGGAGGTACCCGTGCCTACGAGAGCCACGCACACATCCTCCTTTTTAACACTTGCAAAACAGTCACCTTGCAAGAGTTCCCTGGTTCACCTCGTAATAGAAAGAAGCAGAGCACCATTTAGGGATAAGTCCCCTGCAGGCAGCTGTGTGTGCTGCGGTTTCAGTCAGGTCCCTAGTGAATAATGGTGCACCACTCCCACACGAAGGACTTCATCCATCTTACCTACTGGCAGTGAGGACACGGACGGCACACCCCCAGTGTAGACTGCAGTGGAAATGGTTGTTAGCTCTTGTGGGGAGAATGAAGCCACCATCGAGGTGATCTGCATACACAGAGGTCAGGTGGGACTCACCTGTTTTCCAAGCCAGCAGATTTCTTCTGACACACAATGACAGCAGGTGCGTACTTCCCCGTGTACTCTGCGCTCTCCTTGACATCCCAAATGGAAGGGCTGCTGGCGCGCGCACCAATGATGTTCACCCCTTTCTTCACCTTTGCCCTGTTGGAGACAGAAGCGCACACCTGAGATAGGTCTGGGTGGTCACTCATGCTGGACACAGAATGAACTCATTGACACGGTGTAGCCTCGCAGGAAGTGTGAACTCAGGTGTAATAGAATTTCAACTCTAATTTGCTATTGCCTTCCAAGCCATCTGTCCTAATTTTTTTCAGTTATTCCTACTTTTAATGAAGGAGCTGGTGGCAGTACAATTGCCAGGAGCAAACACTGTTTACAGAAGGAAGTGGACTGGCATCATGCTGGTTTGTGGCTTTAATTAAAACACAATACAGAAAAACTACCCCAAAGCCTTTACAGTGGGAAGACTAAACAGAAAAGGGAAATGAGTTAAAAACCTAAAAGTAAACTTTATAACAAAAACGCACCTTCACTGAGTCTTACATTATCCAGCTGCCCAACAGGGTCCAAGTTCACCACAAGGGTGCCAAGGCTCAGCTAGGTGACGGGAGGCTGATGGCCCATAGGTACCTGGAGGTGAGGGGTTGAGCAGGTCCATCTGACTTCTACATTTCTGCTCTTTGCACCACAGCATCCATCCTTGTCATCACCTCCATCACCACAACCTCCATCAGCATCACCACAACCTCCATCCTTATCATCTCCATCACCATCACCACAGCCTCCACCCTCAATACCGTCACATCCTCCAGTCTCATCATTATCTCCATCACCATCACCACAGCCTCCACCCTCATCATCACCTCCATCACCACAACCTCCATCACCATCACCGCAACCTCCATCACCACAACCTCCATCAGCATCACCACAACCTCCATCACCACAACCTCCATCAGCATCACCGCATCCTCTATCCTTATCATCTCCATCACCATCACCACAGCCTCCACCCTCAATACCATCACATCCTCCAGCCTCATCTCCATCACCATCACCACAGCCTCCACCCTGATCATCACCTCCATCACCACGTCTTCATCAGCATGATCACCACAGCCTGCATCTTCACTGACTCATCACCATCACCCCATCCTCTATCTTCACTTCATCATCGTCATCATCACAACCTCCACCTTTATCATCACCACCATCGCCCTCACAACAGCCTCCATCATTGAAAGGAGAGATGCAATGCTCACAGGTTTTTTCCACAACACCAGTGACTTGGTCCCTTACAGAGAAGCTGGGTAAGGGAGGTGGCAGGAGGCACAGAACTGCTTTCCTTATACGTCCTTATTTTTGTGTAAGAAACTTCATCTGAAAATCCAACGAATATGCAATAGAGAGCATGCAGTAAAATCACAATATGATAATTTGCATGGTTGGTTTTATAAACTGGTCCGTATGTTTGGGGAAATCATGTTTTCTAGTGGTTTCTCTATTTTGTCTCTTGGGGAAGATATGAAGAGTTTACAAGAAAAAGTTTGCATCTGGGCAGAGGACAAAGACAAAAATGGTTGACTGTGTTACTCACTCCAGGTCACCCCTATTGTACCGGTGTGGTCAGCAGACAAGGCCATGGTTCCCGTCTACACCTCCAAACCCCTCGCTATTACCATCAGAGAAGACAAGATAGACCACAGTGAGGGGGAGAGTGTGACACCCTCAGACCCGAAGCTAGGAGGTAAAAGAAGACAAGGCTGACCCTATGAACTTTCTTATGGGAACAATGTTGAACTTGTGCAGAAGTGTGCTTCTGAGGGAGGCCTCAGGTGTCCTCTCTCCTTAATGACTATCAGCAAGACAGGCAGTGGCTGCCATCTGGGGACACGGATTTTCGGAGAGCCCCCACCATTCCCTGACGGTAGGGCTCACTGAGCCTAGGCTGTATGCACAATGTAACTTACACTAGGCACCTGCTGTCCTAGCAAGGATCTGGGATTTGTCATCTTCCAGGCAGAGGGGCCCACATGCTAAGTCCATCGGGAAGCCCTAGACTGTGAGGCTGAGGTGAGCTCCCACGGGGGGCAAGTTTCTCAGTTTTCATCATGACTATTTTCTGGGGGAATCGAGTGTGCCATGAGCTCTGCTGGGAGAGGATGCTGGGAGCTGGCACCTGCTCTCCTCTGAACTTGGCCCTGTGCACCTTCTCCCATGCTGATCGGGTTCCTTCAGGGTAAGAAATCCTGGTTGTGAATGTGACTACATGCTGAGTCCTGGGAGGTTTCCCAGCCACTTGTCACACCTGGGAGAAGTCTCAGAGACCTGGGCGCACAAACACTGATGTGAGACTGGTCTACAAAGACAGAAGAATCATGTATGCATGGCCCTAGGTAGCTAACATGAGCATTTTTAGAAAGTGATTGCCATGAATTGCATTTTCTCTGTGTGGGAAAATAACACATTTTGTGTTTTAACTGACAAATCTAACACTTCTGAGTGTGTTCACTTATCTGTGGGGGTGGGGAGGCACAGGCCAGAGGCCAGCTGACCTCTGGGTCCTCAGGTGAAATATTCAAAGTTCTGAGTCCCGCTTTGCCGAGACTTGATTGGATTGTAGACAGCCAAGCTGTGCTCCTGGAAAGCTCGATGCCTTGTGGACAGCTACTGTACCACCAAGAGCAATTGCACAGCCCTCCAGGTTACTGTGCACTGGAATTTTATGGAATCAAATTTGCTTTAAATAAATAGGTCATCAACCGGGCTTTGGTGATCTTTTTATTATACAGAGATTGTCTGTACATAGGCTTTTTCTGATGTACAATTGGCCTATAGTTTTCTTAAATTTTATGCCTAAGTAGGTCATTTTGAGTTTGGATATTTCTGCAATGAATGTTTTCATCATAAGAAGGACACAGTTCCTTATTTAACCCATGAAATACCCAACATTGGTTGCTAATACCTCTATCATAATAATCATTTCTTACTTTTTTTTTTTTTGGTAGGACTGGGGTTTGAACTCAGGGCTTCACACTTGCAAAGCAGGCATCCAACCACTTGAGCCATTCCTCCAGTCCATTTTGCTCTGGTTATTTTGGAGATGGTGTCTTGTGAACTGTTTGCCTGGGTTGGCCTTGAATCATGATCCTCCAGATCTCAGCCTCCCAAATAGGTACAATTACAGGTCTGAGTCACTGGCGCCTGGAATAACACTTCTAAGAGGAAATTGTCTCTGAGATTTGGAGTGGGACTCTGGGGCTTGCCTTTCAGGGGACAGGATACTTTCCTGGGGAAGACAAATCCTGGCATGTGTTGGGTGCTCTGTCTGGAGGAGAGAGAGCTGGGTCTTCATGTGCTGTGTGACTATCAAGGATTTGGGTACTCATTCCTTGGGGACAGATCCCTGGTGTCTACTGAGCATGGCGGCCGTGGGTTAATAAGCTATAAGTGGCAGTGTTTGGAACACAACAACCGGCAGTTCTCACAACTGGTGCAGGTTAGCTCCATTGGTCTGATCCAAGTGCTAATTTTTTCTTTGTTTATGACAACTGAGTCCCTTACAGTCATTAATGGGAGTTTTATAACCTACTTGTGGTTCAATAAATACAGGTTACTCTGACAGCCTCATTACGCAGAGATAAACACAGCACTTGATTTCTGAAGACACTTTGCTGCAGATTTATACTTAATAATATATCTACCATAGTGATGGGGGAAAAGCCATAATTTTCCCCTAGTATGCACACTCAGTGTGGGCTGTTATAAACAAAACCTGCCTGGGCTAAGGAGATACCGTGCTTTTAAAACATAACAGAGGTATGTGTACAGAGGCAGTGCACACGTACATCAGGTGTGATGTCTGTGTTATGTATGTAGTACACATACAATGCACACACACTCACTGCTCTACCTACAGTACCCAGGAACATAACTGAAACCTCTGGGAATGGCTGGTAACCTAGAAACAGAAGGGAGGTGTGCTGCTGGCCTCCCCCTCCCCCTCCTGTCAGTCTTCTCCTGGGAACCGCAGCTGGGTTTTGGGCAGGGAATCTGCAACTCTTGTCGTTCTGAGCGCTGATGGAGAGTTTCTCTCCATCACCCGATCCAGAGCTGGCACAGGATTCAGGCCAGTAAACTGAAAGCTCTCTCCCTGAACTGAATCATGAGCAAACAGATATGGCAAGAGCAAAAGGTATAGGAAATTCATCCGGTGCTGAGGCTGAAACCACCCATGTCTCCTCTCTGGAGCCCTAGAATTAATGTCTGCACAGGTTTCTGAACCTGGCTCTTGACTGGCCCTTTGCCTAGGACATACTCCCATCGCTCCACCACTCCCTTTTTCTTTAACTGGGCCAGTGATTATTTCCACCTGTGGTTATGTAGGGAAGTTGGCTCAGCTGCAGTGACAGAGACTCCTAAAATCCACTTGCACCAGAACCAAGGGATTGATCTCCTATCTTCTATGGAAATTCATGGCTGGTGTTCCAAGGTGTGGGTTTTACTCAGTCTCTGTTCCATTCAATCACTCAGGGATGGAGGCAGAAGGTGGAGCCGCCATTTTAAACCCATGGCTTCCAGTGGCTCTGTATTCATGGCCATCCCAGTGGGCAGAACATGGGAAAGAGCCATGACCATGGCCAGGCAGCCCCCACTCAGCAGTGCACACCCAGATGAACACTCAGTCCACTGGAGGGAGCCACAGTCATGGCGGTGGCCATACCAGGTTACAAACGTAGGGGATGGTGTGAAGCTGGTCTCCAGCTGGCTGCTGGACCAACATCATAACCAAGGAGCAGCGAGGTCTTGGTGCATCTGCATCCCTGTGGCTGCACCTCTGCATCCAACCAGTGGATGCTCCCAGCTCCCAGCCCCCCAAAGACCAGAGACCTGAGTTAATTCTGCTGTATCTCTGAATGCAAAGAGGTGAGTTCTGAACCCCCTCTTACAGAGAGGGGCCCCACTTACACACAACTGTCATGGAAAGCACTTTCAATAGGCAAACTTAAAATAGTCATAGTAAAGTAAGAATTTTATAAGTGGTCTATTAAAAAAGCAATTTGTGCTATAAGCCACACACAAATGGAATTAGGAATCATGAGATGAAAGAAAAATGGGATAAAAAGAGGAATTTCAGTGTT